GCGTCATGTACCAAAATGTTCATTGCAGCTCTATTTACAATAGCCAGGACATGGAAGCAACCTAAGTGTCCATCAACAGATGAATGGATAAAGAAGATGTGGCACATATATACAATGGATTACTCAGCCATAAAAAGAAACAAAATTGAGTTGTTTGTAGTGAGGTGGATGGACCTAGAGTCTGTTGTACAGAGTGAAGTATGTCAGAAAGAGAAAAACAAATACCATATGCTAACCCATATATATGGAATCAAAAAAAAATAGTTCCGAAGAATCTAGGGGCAGGACAGGGATAAAGATGCAGACATAGAGAATGGACTTGAGGACACGGGGAGGGGGAAGGGTAAGCTGGGACGAAGTGAGAGAGTGGCATGGACTTATAAATACTACCAAGTGTAAAATAGCTAGCTAGTGGGAAGCAGCTGCATAGCACAGGGAGATCAGCTCGGTGCTTTGTGACCACCTAGAGGGGTGGGATAGGGAGGGTGGGAGGGAGACGCAAGAGGGAGGAGATATGGGAACATATGTATATGTATAGCTGATTCACTCTGTTGTACAGCAGAAACTAACACACCAATGTGGAGCAATTATACTCCAATAAAGATGTTAAGAAAGCAGGAACCTCCAGACTGACAGTAAACCACACGTTTTGGGTGATAAGTGTCCTGGAAGCAGACAAAGAAAGGTGGGGAAAGACAGGAATCTCCTATGTCCGAATGTGACCTGTTGCTCATTATGCTCTCATTACAATAAAATTAGCCTTACAGATGAGAAGTACCCATCACGCACTGACACCATGATACTTCTGATCTAAGCCAAATAAGAACAGAAATCCCTCCTCCCCTCAGGAAGACAGAGCTGGGATGAAAATCAGGGAATACGACCCCCAAACCCCTCCTTCCCCAGTGAATACTCTGCCCCTTTATTTGTATGCCCCTCATAACCGGCTTGCCAGAGAAACCCAGGGCAGCAGCTCCTCACCCGTTTGTCTGCTCTCCCTCTGAGAGCGTATTCTTGCTTAAATAAATCCTCACTTTACTTTCTTAACTCCCTGCTTGTCTCCGAATTCTTTTGCGACAAGGCAAGAACCTTAAATTCACTGGGAGCAGTACTGTTTATAAAACGGCTATTATAGCATCTGGTAAATATTTGCTCAGTAAATGTGACTTCCTAACTTGCTACCTGTGCAATCCTACACAGCATTCAATATTTTCTGATGACAATATATCTGAAAACAGTATGCAGGAAATATCCCCATGCCTTTCAGCACAAGAACAGGCACGTGCAAATTCTCCTTTTCCAGTGTTTTTTATTTGCACATTTAATATTCACAAATCATTTTACAGATTTATTCTTTTCACAGGTTCTTTATTTATAGGAAAAATCAGGATTAAAACAGAGCATCAAAGAGGACCAAGAAATTACCAGCAGAGATGGTGCAGAATACAAAGGCTCTAAAAGAGAACAGAGTGAACAAGAGCAGCGTGTAGCCACTTCCTACCAGGCTGGAACACTGACTTCATTAAGGCAAAGCCTTTATTTACTGTGTTATTTCTTTACCCCACCTAGTTTAACCCAAATAGAAAGGCATTCTATTTTCACACTACTGCTCTCTGAGGTCTTAGGAATATAGCTGGTACTACATGTGACCAGAGGCATCCCTTGACTATAAACACCTGAATAGACACGTTAAATTTTGATGTGTTAACCATCCCACTGGGAGAATTAAAACAAAAGAGGCAGAAGCTGCTTGATTCTTAAGACTTTGAGAAAAGGGGGAGGGGTGTATGTGTCTGGTGGTGGGAGGAGGGGAAAGAAAAGGGGCTCAAGGAGGAGTGAGGGCAGCAAACCTAACTCTTCCCAATGTATAACCGCTGTGTCTTTCTCAGATGCTAATATAGTATTCTAGTACTCAGAAAAAAACGAGTTATTGACCTCCAGTGAGCTGTACGTTGTAATGGCTAGTAACAGGGAACATACCCTGGGGAGGAGGTGTATTCATTTCATGCGTATAACAATGCAATTCAAAACTGTGTCCTACTATGATCTCAGCTAATGTGTTTTCCTATTTTAAATCAATTCACTGTGTAACCTTAGACAATTTACTTAACCTTTCTGTGCCTCAATTTTCTACCAGTGAAATGAGGATTGTACCACTTTATGCTGAAGATTGGAGGAGATGCATAAAAAGCACTTAAGAATAGTGCCTGGCCAAATCCATAGAGACAGAAAGCAGACTGATGGTTGCCAGGGGCTGGGGAAAAGGGAAAAAGGGGATGACTGCTAATGGCTTTGGGGTTTCTTTGTGAAGTGATGGGAATGTTCTAAAATGAGACAGTGGTGATAGTTGCACAATTATGTGAATATACTGAAAAATCACTGAATTGTATACTACTTTAAAAGGGTGAATTTTATGGTAAAGTGTATCCCAATAAAGCTGTTACAAAAAATTCTTAAAAAAATAGAGTAGTGTCTGGCACACAGTAAGTGCCCAATAAATGTTAGCTATTATTTGTAGTAATATTATTGTCACATTATTATTTAGCCATCTTATGACCTAAGTAAATCCCTAGAAATTCTTTATTTTTAATAAAAGCCCACGAATCTAAAAAAGTATTTCTAATTTACATATATGCATTAACATTCACACATTTATTTCTATCCAAATTGTCTCAGAAATGAACAGTTTAATTAAGAAGCACAATTTCAGTATTTTACTCTGGAATAAAACAACTGCATGCAATGGATGTCTGATCATATCACGATAGGCTTTAGATAAATTTCAATGACTTGATGTTATCCAAGAATTGGAAATGATGGGAGATTTTCATTTTCATCTCCAGGAATAAACAGGAAGTTCAAATACAGTAAGTACTTAGATTATATAACGTACACAATTAAACCTTCAAATATAGGCTTGTTAGCCTTCTAATCACATTTTGGGGGACACTTTATAAAAAGACAAATACAGTAAACAGTAAAATGCTTACTAGCCCCATGCTCTGTGACCCCCTCACCTTGCCCAAAAGAAAATCCCCACAATGAAAAGATACAACTCAACTCATGTAATAAACCACTTAAGAGGCAAAAGACTTGACGATTAATGATTGACTTTTAAGACTACACTGCAAAAAAGATGTTCACATCAATTGAGTATTTATAATCTGAACAGCAATTAAATCCAGTCTTCACCTTCCCTATTGCTAAAGAATATGACAACGGAGTCTCAATCTCAGAAGCAGGAGCAGCAAGTGATAAGCCACGATGGCAGTAATGCACATCACATGCTTGAATTTCATCTAAAGCGTGAAACCTTCCAATTCCCAGAACAGGGTTTCCTTTGTTGGAGTCCCCTTCCCTTCTAGTCTTCCTTTCTATAATTAGCCACGTGCCTCTGCAGCAAATCAGGGAAAGCTGTGTTGAGGGTTACAACTTCCAGATACTCAGGTCTTCTGTGACAGAAAGCAATGCACTTTTTTGAATATATTAAGAAAATATTTATTTATACCCTCAAATTGACCACTCATTTTCAGAAAGATAATTAAATCTCCATTTTACCCGCCTTCATTTAAATCAAATAAAACCATTCCCTAAGTCACCCAAAAGCAACAGATTAAAACACAGAACAAGTTGCCTTAACACCCAATATGTATAATACCCCCCTCACACACACACAAACCCCACCAAAGTTGTGGCCTTAGGAATTTCTGACCAAATATTTAGCCTGAGTAAAATTCAGTGAAGATTTAATTCCCTTTTGAGAAGCATGATTATTTCTTTAATTTTACATTATAATCATTGGGATAGATTACAAAACAACTCTGGAAGAGAGATGTTTTTAGTGGGAAGTTAGAAACTTTCAGACAATGGAAATGGATGATAATTTAGGACCAATTTTAAAATCAGAACCAGTTTCAAAATATTTTCTTTATCAAGACTGAAACATTGGCTTTGTCCTAACAGGGTTTATTTTGAAATTTAAAAGGGAAATTGAAACAAATACATAACCAAAATATCTAGACAACGCTGAGACAGAGGGGACCAATTTTGTAATGCTCTGTAATTGAATATCATTCCAAGTACTCATTTGTCCTAGTATTGTTCATTTGGTTAATCTGGGGATGGAGAAAGTATATTTTAAAAATTATATATCTATGCATAGGTCATCTTTAAATACCAGTGAATAAATATTAAAACTCCATGATAAAGAAAAAATGTGGAATAAGAAATTCCTATCTTTATAAGTAACTATATTTACAATGAATGTTTTCTGCCTGACTCCTAATCTTTGTCTATTAAGAGTTTTTCACTGTGCAATTTATAGAAGGCAGCAGCTCATATTACCTTAAAAGAACCCTGATTAGCTCAGAATCAGCCTGTCCCAGACACTCTGCTCCCTGAAAAGCCTTCACACTTGTGTGCATAAATAGCTGAGAATACAAGTAGGTGCACATGTGCAAAAAAGTACTTCTCTAAAGGAGAGCTAATTGGCTTTACAAATAAAGTCTAAAACCAAGAAAATAAACTGCTATCCCCAACCCGAAAAACACACCTAATGAAAAAACTGCTAAGCCCACTATGAAAAGGCGGCAGCTGTAAACTCAACTCATCCTACCTCATGCTCTTAAGCATCTAGTTGTTCTGTGAAATCAGCCATTAGAACACTAAATCCCTCCATGTTTACATGGTTAAATGCAGCCTTTGATTTAGCTTTACTATTTAGTTAGAGGCCAGACTACACAGAACAGCAAGAAATTCCTTACAGCTATGCGGTATCCAAACTGCCTCATTCTGCCCTTAAGAGAAGGTGCCCACATGATAATATGCATTAGGGACCTACCAATCTAAATTTCTGAGGTCTTCTACTTGGGTAAGTTCAAGCATTGGTCCACTGAGAGCTTCAGTCAAAGGAAAATTACAAGTTGACTGCTAACACCTTAGCTTGCATATGCAGAAGTGGGGAGTAAGATTAAAAATTAAGAGTGTCCAGGCACAGAAAGAAATGAAATTGAGTTATTTGTAGTGAGGTGGATGGACCTAGAGTCTGTCATACAGAGTAAAGTAAGTCAGAAAGAGAAAAACAAATACTGTATGCTAACACATATATATGGAATCCAAGAAAAAAAAAAAAAGTCATGAAGAACCTAGGGGTAAGACGGGAATAAAGACACAGACCTACTAGAGAATGGACTTGAGGATATGGGGAGGGGGAAGGGTAAGCTGTGACAAAGTGAGAGTGGCATGGACATATACACACTACCAAACGTAAAATAGATAGCTAGTTGGAAGCAGCCGCACAGCACAGGGAGATCAGCTCGGTGGTTTGTGACCACCTAGAGGGGTGGGATAGGGAGGGTGGGAGGGAGGGAGACGCAAGAGGGAAGAGATATGGGAACATATGTATATGTATAACTGATTCACTTTGTCATAAAGCAGAAACTAACACACCGTTGTAAAACAATTATACTCCAATAAAGATGTTAAAAAAAATTAAGAGTGTCACTGAGCTGCTATTAAGCATGGCAGAAAGGTGACTATACAGAAAGACTAAAAAAGCCTATGTTTTAGATGTCCTTTGCTTCTTTTTAAGCAACAAGTGCAGAATTTTCTCTAATCAAAATCTGAATTTTGCTTAGATGTTTTCTCCTCCCACGTCTGTGTACCCCTTTCCCAACCTCTGTCATTGTCTTTTTAAGCTTAAGAGAAGTAAAATAGACTATCCCTTATTATTTATGAAAAGAGAGGCATATTCTAATAGTCATAAGGCAATATGTTTAAGAGCTGCACCTGAACTGGTATTCTCAAAACTGAAAATATAGTTACCAACTCTATTCAACTTGCAGGATGTATCCATGTGCTTCCCAAGTCATTGGTTGTCACCCAAATGGACCACAGTGACCCCATCATGCCTTAAGGAGGCATTATATTGTGTGTACTATGCACACATATTTTAAAGAAATAACATTAAGAAGGAAAGGACGGCCTTTCAAACATCAGTTCCTTACATAAATGGTGACGGTGCTTTATGGTTCCCTTTTAATCTCCTCATATACCCAGTTACCAAATACCTCCAAAATTAGACAAAAGAGGGCCAAAGGCAAAACTCCACGGTGAATTGCATCTTTGAAATGAGCTTTGAAATCCCTGGTTTTTAATTTCCATTTCCTGATTTACTGAGGAGTGAAGGTGAGAATCATCCAACTGATGACAAAGTAAAACAAGAAAACAGGATAAACAGCAAGGGCTTTGCGGTTTGGAGGCTGGCTATCAGCAAGGAAAGCTGTAGAGGCTAAACAAAGCAAAACAAGACAACAAAAAGGAATATTTAATACAATAAGACTGTCACAACTACTAACATTTACTAAACTTGAAGGGGCCTGACATAGTCTGGGACACAGAATTATATACTATAAGTTCAGTTACATTTGTGATCCTCAGAGAAAAAGGCATTTGGCAGCATAGTTTTCTGGACAGCTGAGGGCTACCTGTTTCAAGTATGAAAGCTCTGAAAGGTTTCAACCATTTAAGATGGAAACCTTTCTAAAAGGGGTTTCTTACCCTTTTCTGACAAGTTACTGAGCTGTGCTAAATAGGCTTACAAAACTCCTATGGCAAATGGCCTCACACTGCTGTGTTTTTTGAGTACTTGTTCTTAATAAGTTATCAGCTCTTTTAGATGCCAATCCTCTTGTCCATCCAGGAAACATATACTCATCTTTTTACTCATCGATAATCACCCTTCAAGGAAACCTTTCCTGAACAGCCATCTGGTATCCTGCCACCCCAGGTAGAACTGCCCACTTACCTCTTCTGTGTCCCCACTATACACTGCATAGACTTCCACTGCCCACCTGGAAAAGCTTTATGCCTAGATTGTGAACTCGGAGGATAGAGACCATGCCTAGCACAATGCCTGACACACAGTCTGTGCTTAATACATATTTGCTGAATTACAGGAACTTCTCCTTCATCTAAGATTCTACTTGCTGAACCACTGTGGGCCTGGACACTTGATAACTAAGCTATTCAGAACTACATGTACAGTAAATTATCAGACTCTAAGTGAGGGAATGAGGGGCTCTTCCATGGGTAGTTAAAGCACCCAAGCTTAATACAATCCTTGGAATATCAATTCTGGCATTCTCAGACCTTACTTTTGGATTACTTCTTGGCTTTTAACCGTGTTCCAAAGAGATGTTATTGCACATAAAAATATTAGGTAGTCTGTCTATCCCATTAAAAAGAAGCTAGTGAACACTTCCAGTTTAAGGTGGAATTTTAAGAGAATTTTAGGAAAGTACAAACAATGAGCAAATAGCATTCATTGCCAGTGCTACAGGCTCTCACTAATCTTTAGCAGAATTTTCTACTGAAGCAGACAGTACTATGATACTTAACAACCTATACTGGGAGGTAGTATAGTACATTTCTAAACAGGTATGTGATCCGGTTGGGTTTGAAACTTGATTCCCCTATTCACTAGTTATGTGTCCTAGGGCAAGTTGCTTAACCTCTCTGGGTCTGTTCCTCATCTATAAAAATGGGACCAATAATAACTGTTTTTATTTATTAGGGTTGTTGTGAGGGTTAAATGAGATAATACGTATGAAGTACTTATGAAAGTGCCTGGCCTACAGTAAGCAATTGGTAAATGCTGGCTATTATTATGATTAATTTGTCAGGAAAAGGCTCAAGCCATTTCTCAAGTCACCTATGCCTCCTATATGCCAGGACTAAGCTAGGTCTAGTGTAATCTCCTTTTTCAACCCTATCCACTATTTAAGGATTGAAAAGAAAAAAAGACGTGACTCTCCACATCTCGGAAGTCCAGATAGCCAACTCAGATAAGATGAACATTATCCCTACTGAGAGAAGACGGTTCTATGGATGGCACTGGCAAGAATCATATCACTCATATGTAACTTATAAGTTACACTCCTCCTCATCTGATCTTCATCTCTAACTCATGTTTCGGTCTGCTCTGTTACTGTAGAGATAAGTACGTTCTTACCTACTATAGACCAGGCAAACATCACGATCACCACAAAAAGCCGGACCATGAAGTTTATTGGTCCTGGCTCGGCCAAAAGTACCAGCCGGCAAACCAGCATTGCCACCGTCAGGGGAAGTATACAGTAACCCAGCACACAGAGGCTCTGGAAAAAAGATCTAAAAAACAACATACATCCATAAAGATCATAAATATAGCTGATCTGTATCATGATACAGTTTATTACACAGATTTCTATGTATCATGGATCATTACCTTCCTTCAGATACATAATACCTATACCCTAATGTTGATTTTATAAGGATAGGCCTCTGTATTAAACATGTGCTTTAGTTTTGCTCTCCCCATACTCTCCTCCTCTCTGCTTAAACTCCTTAAGAGTCAGCCCTCTAGTATCTAGATGATCTGCTCTAATTCCTAGGGACCTCCTTCTCCCACTGAACCTCTAAGAATGGTGTTTCTTAATCTTCTGTGGTTTACAGACCTATTTCAGAATTTGTTGAAAACTATGGACCATCTGTTCCCAAAGACAGACATAATCTTCTAACACAAAAAATTCTGCCTATGATTTCAGGGGCTGGAGCGAGAGCACTGAAGCTTATCAAAGGACCCCAGATAATTTAAGGTAATTTAATTCAACTAGGTTATCTCTGTTCAGTGGTTTTAAGAGAACCTTCTTTTTGGCTCTCATTTATTTTGATTTTTCTTTTTGAAAAATATATAACTAGCCAGACTTCCTTAAAAATCTAAGATATGCAACCTGGCAAGGGAAAAGGGATGCATTTTAATAATACTCACATGTTTCCTCCAAGAAGTTTTGAGTTGAGGGTGATGGTAACTGCACCAAACCAGACAATGACAAACACTTCTGCAAACTGGGGCCCTCCATCTTTTTCGCTATCTACAGAGCCTCTCTGAAGCATTCTGTGACAAGGAAATGGCATGAGAATTGCCTAGTCTTTTATTTAGAGCAACAAAGTTACAGCATGGGTTCTCAAACTTTGAATCAGGGAGCTGCCCTAAACCTCACCTGAAGATCTATAATATGTAGGCTGTACAAAAGGAAAATGCCTGAAGTATATCCCTTATTTCAAATTCCAAATGCCTCAGGACTACAAGAGGTGCTCCATTTGACCTCATGGGAATGCTTAAATGGATTACCGAAGACCTTTTTTGGTTAAGCAGAGGGTATAAACTGAAGGGCTAAATATGGCTCACAGACATGAGGTTGTTGGTCCATACAATACTTAAAATGGTCTTAAATTCAAGTTGATGTTATTTTAAAATTGGGAGGTATTTCTGGATTTTCTTGAAAAATCATAAGAGTTTCCAACACTGGACCTGCATTCCTACATGGCAACAATCAGGTGCAGTTGACACAGCAGCAGATTCCTTCACAAGGGCTTCTGGTAACCAATTCGCAATGCATGCATGTACACATTTGAATTTGTAATCCTTGGGTTAAGGTTCTAGTTCTGGCATTTAAAAATGGAAGCAGTCTATAAACCTATTTAGTTGTTGATTTTTTAAAATCAAAACATACAGATTATCACGAAAAGGCTTTACTTTGAAACTGAGTAATTGAACAGTCACTTATATCCTCTCTAAAAATTTCACAGATGTAAACTGCTTTGAATTTTGGACTCAGAACACTTGTACCCTGTGTCATTTTTTTCCAGTAACAGAATAAGTAACATCAAACTCACAACCTCTTACTACAAAGTATAGAGAAGTCACACAGTAAGTCTTGTCCTGCTATGCTATGTGCCAGTAAAGGCTTTTTGTATTCTATGGTTCTGCATACTCTATTCCAAGTCCTGACAATCCAGTGCAAAGAATGCTGGCCCTCATCACTTGTTGTCTGGAACTCCTATTGCTTCAGCATGGTATGACAGAAAGAACATTAACTGGCCTGGAAGGCAGGAGACTCAGATATTGATCCTAATTCTGTCACTAGATATGGAAACTGGAGCAGATCACTTGATGTTCTGGGACTCCAATTTTCTTCTCTGCAAATAAGTGGTATTAAACTCCATAATCTCTAAGGTTAATCTTTCAAAACTAAGAAAGTGTATGCTCAGAGCTTCTAATATAAACCCTTTCATCAAGGCACTGGATTGTTTCCCTTGATATGGTTATTAAAGGCATAAGATAGAGCACTCCACGTTTTTACCTAAATTACCATGTGCTTGACTTACATTTAAAAATGGGTAAAGAAGCCAGTAAGAAACTTGAATTTAAAATTATAAAAGGTTCGGCCTGGAAAGGACCCTCAACCATCTCCTTTTATAGATATGGAAAAGGAGACCCAGAGAGGTTACGTGGGAAGAGACGTGTAATAATTGCAGAGGTAGAGAATGGGCAGTCAAGGAAACCTGAGGTTGAATTCCAGGTCTACCACTGAATATTTGACCTTGGTTCAGTTCTCAATCTCTTTGAACCTGAGCTTGTTTGTCAAAAGAGGAAAAATATTCACTTCTTGTTATGAGGATAAGAGAAGGTATTTAAAAGTTTTCTGTAAGCTAAGAAATATCATTATACAAATTTTGGTTATTAGTGGCCGAAAGTCACTCTGCTGATAGCAAAGTTAGGATGAGAACTCAGAACTGAATCCTCCTAGTGCAGTATTTTTTCCACTCTACCAGTGGTTATATTCCCCTCTCCAGCGGAACTTTGCTTTCCTTCTTCTGTCCTTTCCCTTTACATACAATGCATATGGAAAACATAACACTTTGAAACATGATCTTGCTTTGAACTCTACCACTTCTACTCTAATTTATTCTCACTTATACTTTTAGTAAATTTTTAAAGTATTATGTTTGCAAATAAACAGTGCTTAAACCTACAGATACTTAATTCACTTAGCTTAATGAGGTACATGAGTGTGAATAAATGTTGAACAGAAATGGCTAAAACAGGATAAGAAGTCATTGGTAAATGAAGGTGGGCATAATTTTCACATCTTTAAATTCCATCACTCTTTGAATTGATCTAGAAAACTACTTGACTTTTTAGATTTAAATACATAAGGAGTACAATATGTCATAGAAGTCCTAAATGAAATATTCAGTCAAAATCCCCTTCAATTTTGAAACTCCATGAAAAAAATCTCATCTATCTCAAATGACAAAGAAAGGAAATATAAGTACTTACAATGCAAGCGTCACACAAAGGATCAAAGGGCCCCATAAATCCCCTACAAGAAAAGACAGAAGACTGTTAAGACACAACCATGTAGTGTTTTCTGTCTTTATTCCAATATGTACCTCTCCCACTCTTGGAATTCAGACATCAAGGCTCTCCCTGTCTGCCCAAGCCTTCCGACCTCTGCTATCCCTCTGCTGACCCTCTCTGCTCCCTAATTCTGAATGCCCTTCTTCATATATCCTTTAAATTTTGTTCACTTCACATCCCACAAATCACCCCTCTCCCCACCTACTAAGCCACATTCCAGCATGCTACAGTTAAAGACCAACGAGTAAGGAGTCAAAAGACATAAGTGCCCTACCCTGCACCATCAAAAAGAAGACTAAAGCCAAGTCACTTTACCTATCTGAGACTACATTAGACAAGGCAAGTATAATCAGGTTCACCTCACAAATATGAAAAACAAAGCTGGGAAGAAGAGACGTGCCCAAGTTTCCGTAAACAGTTAAGTGTGGGGGTGGGACCAGAACCTAGAACCAAAACCAGAATCTTCTGATTCCTACTACAAAGTCCTTTCCACTCTGCAATACTGTTTCCCTTTCATAATTACTACATTGAACTAGCACAGAATTGCTGTTCTTATAGGTGAAAAACAGCCCAACACTGGTAATTTCATAGGGTTAAATGTTAACAAACAACATGAAAACTTTTTGAAAACTATAAAGGCTCTGTCAACATTAGGTCTAATCACTGTGGTTCTCAATCAATAGCTGTTGGGTGATTAATAAACCAACAGTTCAGTAACATACAGCTTAAAGCACAACTATCTTCCTCAAGTAATATGAAAAAAGGTACATATACCACTTCTAACTTTAACCTCACTTGTACATAACTTTATGTGAAAGAAGTGTGCATATGTACATACTTACGTCTTTTTTTTAAATAAGTAATTTTGACACCACTGTGGAAAGTTTGTTAAAGATGTAAAAAAAGAAAAACCATAATCCTAACACTCTAATAAACTATTGTTAATTAAATAAGCAATAAATTGTTAAAATTTATCAACTGAAAAGCTGAATTCAAGTACAACTGACATTAATACACTGTTTTTTTAATGCAGTGAAGACTGTTTTTAATTTGTAAAAGATTCATAACAGTATTTTAAAACTACTCTTATTCTTGTGAAATACATAAAACACAAAATTTACCATTTTAGTCACTTTTAACTGTACAGGCACGGAGTATATTCACTGTTGTGCAAGCACCACACCATCCATCTCCAGAACTTTTTCATCTCCCAAACTGAAACCCCAACCCATTAAACAATAACTCCTCAATACCCCCTCAGTCCCTGACAACCATCATTTAACTTTCTTTCTCTATAAATCTGACTACTCTAGGTACCTAACATAAGTGGAATCATATATGTCCTTTTGTGTATGGCTTATTTTACTTAGCATAATGTCTTCAAGGTTCATCCAAGTTGTAGCATGTATCAGGAATTTCACTCCTTTTTAAGGATGAATAATAACCCATTCATATATGGCATACACCATGGTGTATATAACACACTTTGTTTACCCATCCATCCACTGATAGATTTAAGAGTTGTTTTCACCTGCTGCTATGAACACAGGTGTGCAAATAACTGTTTGAGTCCGTGCTTTCAATTCTTTTGGGTATATACCCAGAAGGAGACGTGCTGAATCATGCGGTAGTTCTATACTATAAATTTTATACACTATAAAATTATGTGGTAATTTTTTGAGGAACCACCATGTTGTTTTACACAGTGGCTGTACCATTTTACATTCCCACCAGCAATGCACAAGGGTTCCAATTTCTCCACATCCTCACCAACACTTGTTATTTTCTGTTTCTTTGACAATAACCATCCTAATGGATCTGAATTGGTATCTAATTGGATAAGACAGTTTTTCTGAGGAAGAAACTTCAACCTCAGAACAGTTAACTGTCTTATCCAAGATCACACATTATTCAAACACTGATTTGCCCATGCTCTTTCCACTACATACAAGCTGTAGCAAATCATGTGTCAGCTTCAACCCACAATGTACTATGTTGAAAAAGATTCTGACGCTGCATCCAATTGCCACACAGTGATGGCACATTTGCCACATATTTGACATCCTTATATTACAGCTGAAATGCTGCTAAAATAGAAGGTACACTCATGTACAACATCACTGTTACTACTCTTAAACAATAGATTCAATTTTTTTCTGACAAAGGGTACTAAGAAAAACCAAGAATGCTTGAAAAGAAAAGGTCTAACAATTTTAAGAATAAATTCTAAAAAACAGCAAAATTTTCTGCAAACACTGTTTTGGAACTCCTAAAGAAAGCAGTCAACAGACTAAATGATCATTCTGAAAATAGAAATGTCAATAAAGTACTATTAATTTGTTAAACCTGTAATGGGTATTAGCTATTATTCTAATTTAACATTTACACATTTTGTCTTTCCCTTGGAAATCATTAGCTCTTTGGTTGAACAAAGTCCCTATGTCTTTGCCACTTCCAGAAATATTCTTTGCAGTGTCTATTATAGCAGGTGAAAATATACAGTCTATATTTATTGATGAGGACAATATATTCAGCAAAATCTTCCAATCTCTGAAATTCCATCCTAAATTTTTAACTTTTTTCAAAAACTTCATTTATGTATTTTTTCATTCTGCAAAATGACATCAGTTTTATTACCGCAGAGCCTTTGCCTTATAAAATACTTATGATAAGGTATGATGAGAAACAGCAAAGCCTCAAAATCCTTATATACTTACAATCTCTCAAAAGAGTATTGCTTTTCCTTGGGTACAAAACATGCATGAATTTTTTCCCAACAGCTTTTAGATCACGCATCTGAAAGATATAAACAACTTGTACTGTGATGACCAAGGTTGCCAAGCAGCCCCCTCACTTAATTTGCTAAAATTTCTTTTATTTCAATCTCCTGGGAGCCCTTCATTGAATTTTAGAGCTATAACTCCAGTTTAATTCCTTCACTATACAAACAAACCAGAGAGGTCGGGTTTTTCTATTAACTCCTTTTTCTATTAACTTTTCCTATTAACTCCTTAAGCCAGCATCTAACTCTTTACCACATTCATCAGTTCTGTTTTGAGTTTTTAAACTCCACAGAAGAGAAACAAAGCCCTCCTAATATGTTACTTAAAGAAACGAAAATAATAGCACTAGTAAAATCTGCTCTGCAAAACACAGCACCTAACTGTCAGTTCATACATGATGAGGTCACAAGGGGCAATCAGCCTGCTCCCAAGCTAACACATTCTTCACAATATGTAAAGTCAATTAATTTTCAACATTCCCATACATTCTGGCAAATGAATCCTAGAAGCCAGATTTTAAAAAATCAAGACATTTAAAGCAGGGTGCAGTCATATAAACATAACCTCTCAAATTACAGTTGAGGTAGTTCTGTCCTAATTTAGAAATTTCTTCATGTCATTAATAGTTCTTTGTAAACATGACTTTTAATGGTTGTTTACCATTCTACCACATAGATGTAACATAATTTACTTAACTGATTACTCTTCTTTGCAACTTTCCCCCATTATAAATATTGCTGTAACAAACATCTTTGTATAAACATTTTTCTGTATTTTTTAAAATACTTTTGTATTAAAAATTTTTTTCCTTATACTATACCTAGAGAAGCGGGAATTATCACCTCAAAAAGATTGGACATTTTAAGTTCCTTAATATCCATTACAGCCAAACTGCTTTCCAAAAAGGCTGTACCAAATTATTCTCTAGGGGAGAACCTTAAATGTCAATAAATAAAATACACTGAAAACCAGTGAACCAAACAAAAATATTACAAAGTGCTATTAGCTATTTAGCCCCATGACACTGAACAGAAGTTCTCTCAACTTGTCTAACTTACAATGGTATTCTGAACAGATTCATTCAGTGTGGAGCTGTCAAATTCCCGAATGCGAGATCTCATGGGAATGGTGATTTCTCCTTCCACAGGGATGTCTTGTGAGATAGATATATCTGAAAGGCCTGCAAACTGAGAAGAATTAGGGACAAAAATTTAAAGCCTGTAATAAACTGTAGGATTCCCCCAAAGACATCATCATTTCCCAGAGAGCAGGACCATGTCTTTTTGTAGGGTTTTATACAGTTTTTAAAATAAGGTGTTAGCTCACCAGACATCGAAAAATGCAGTTCGCTAAAATTCTCAAATGCTTATTTCTTTTAACTTAAAGAAGGAGATGGCAAACAATGGAAAAAATTATAAAGTAAATGGCATAGACTTTCTTGCCCTCAAATATCTGGTTTCTTTCAAGCATGAAATCTTCTTTTTATATCTTTATCAGAGTATAATTGCTTTACAACGTTGTGTTAGTTTCTGCTGTACAACGAAGTGAATCAGCTATATGTATACATATATCCTCATATCCCCTCCCTCTTAAGCCTCTCTCCCACCCTCCTATCCCACCCCTCTAGGTCATCACAAAGCATCAAGCTGATCTCCCTGTGCTATACAGCAGCTTCCCACTAGCTATCTATTTTACATTTGGTAGTGTATATACATCGATGCTACTCTTTCACTTCGTCCCAGCTTCCCCATCCCCCACACCCGTGTCCTCAAGTCCGTTCTCTATGTCTGCGTCTTTATTCCCACCCTGCCACTAGGTTCATCAGTACCGTTTTTTTAGATTCCATATATGTGTTAGCATACGGTATTTGCTTTTCTCTTTCTTACTTCACTCTGTATGACAGGCTCTAGGTCCATCCACCTCATTACAAATAACTCAATTTCACTCCTTTTTATGGCTGAGTAACATTCCATTGTATATATGTGCCACATCTTCTTTATCCATTCATCTGTCGATGGACATTTAGGTTCCTTCCATGTCTTGGCTATTGTAAATAGTGCTGCAATGAACATTGGGGTGCATGTCTCTTTTTGAATTATGGTTTTCTCAGGGTATATGCCCAGTAGTGGGATTGCTGGGTCATATGGTAGTCCTATTTTTAGTTTTTTAAGGAACCTCTATACTGTTTTCCACAGTGGCTGTATCAATTTTCATTCCCACCAACAGTGCAGGAGGGTTCCCTTTTCTGCACACCCTCTCCAGCATTTATTGTTTCTAGATTTGTTGATGATGGCAATTCTGACCAGTATGAGATGATACCTCATTGTGGTTTTCATTTGCATTTCTCTAATGATTAGTGATGTTGAGCATCTTTTCATGTGTTTGTTGGCAATCTATATGTCTTCTTTGAAAAAAATGTCTATTTAGGTCTTCTGCCCATTTTTGGATTGGGTTATTTGTTTTTTTTGATATTGAGCTGCATGAGCTGTCAAGCATGAAATCTTAACAGGATAGAAGCTAGTAAGATTGCAGAACTTTTAGTGACATTTCAGTGATCACATCTTAGCACAGCCACAATTCTGTTGCACTTCTGCTCCTTAGTGGGCTCCAGTGGCCTCTGCTGGCTAAAAAGGAGCATTATGTGAAATCTAAAGGGAAACTGGGAAGAACATGGAAATAGCAAAACACATCATTATTTATACTCTTGTTACCAGATTACTGGCAACCACAGATCAAATAACATTTCCAAAGTGAACTGCAAGATTGCAAACTTTTAAACTCTTACGTTCATATGCCAAATTTGATTACTGTGACTGAAACTCTAGAATCTTCAAGTTCCTAAGAAAACAGAAGCAATCCCTTCTCATATGGTTTTTGGCCCAATGTTTAGTGGGCAATAGTTACAGGTAAATGAAATACAAGACAGTATACTAAAATTTTAGGAAGAATAAGGTTGTTCAAAGAACTTATGAAAAGCAGCTTCTCAGTCACATTCTTAATAAGGAAATGCAGGGCTTCCCTGGTGGCGCAGTGGTTGAGTGTCCGCCTGCCGATGCAGGGGACACGGGTTCGTGCCCCGGTCCCGGAAGATCCCACATGCCGTGGAGCAGCTGGGCCCGCGAGCCATGGCCGCTGGGCTTGCGCGTCCGGAGCCTGTGCTCCGCAACAGGAGAGGCCACAACAGTGAGAGGCCCGCATACCGCAAAAAAACAAAAAACAAAATCCAAAAAAAAAAAAAAAAAAAGGAAATGCAAATTAAAGCTACTTGAAAATTCTTCACCTGTTAGACCGGCAAAAATCCAAGTTTGACCACACATTCTGCAAGTGAAGCTGAGGGGTAAAAGCACTCACACACTGCTGCTGGGGAGGTAAAATGATACTAGGCCCTATTGAAGATTAATCTGGCAATATCTAGTAAATTTATATATGGATTGCTCACCACTTTTAGGAGTCTAAAGTGGTAAAAATACAAAAAGTCATATATATATATATATACATACACACACACACACACACACACACACACACAAGGCTCTTCATTACAACACTACCTGTAAAAGCGAAAAACCTGAGAATAGCCCAAATGCCCATCAACAGAGAACCAGTTGAATAAAGCATGGTATGTCCACATAATGGAGTGCTATGCAGCTGTAAGAAGGAATGGGTATATCTCTAAAGAACTATTATGGAGTGTTAAATTAAAAAATAATGTGGAGGAAAGTCTGTATACATGCTACCATTTATCTGAGAAAAGAGGGGGTACAAATATATATATACATATCTGAATATCTTTTAAATATAAGAAATAAGTCATGTAATGTGACCTGTCACATGTAATGTAAGAAATGTCATAGATTTTTTTTAAAAGAGGCTTCCTAATTAGGAAAGGAGGGAATAAGGTGGAGGAAACAAGTAGAGAAGTTAGTCTTCTTGGAACACACATTGTTCTGTATATATAACTTGAAATCATATAAATAACTTCACAGAATTATGAGACAAAATTAAAATTTAAAAGCAGTCCCAAAAACTGAAAGAGAAATGAAACAAATGAACCTACTGAATTAAATACACAACCACACAGAGAGCAACTGTTTCAAGTGACTTTACAACACTGTAATTTGACTTCCAGTTAGGATGTAGAAAACTGGAATGAGCATCCCATCCACTAGAACAATGAGAAAAAGCTAGACTAACTACAAAATCATAACTTTCCTTGAACCCATCAGAGAGCTGAGGTTGTAGGGCAACCAAGTAGCATGAATGAAATCTAAGGAAAGACAGGCACTTACTTCCAAGAAGAGATGGGACATGAGCACTGGCTCAACTGTAGCAAAGCACGAGAAGACAACAACACTGGGCATCACACAGATGATTAAGAATTCAGCTAAAATTTAAGATGAATTGCTAAAGACCAAGTGTTGACTGGTGTGAGAGTACAGTGTCCCTGGAAGCATTAGACACAGGAGGCATTCACACCCACTTGCAGGCTCTTCTCCACAGACTTCCATTGGTCCAGGTGTAAGGGGAGTAGCTGCCTCTTCTGAGGAAAGCACAGAGACTGGCTCAGACCCTTCTCCCCTACAGAAAAAGAGACTTAAAGCTGCTGGGGGAAGATCAGCAAACTCTGTTGTCTCCAGAGCACAGGTGAAAACCCACTGTGGCTGGGGAAAGGGAAAAGACAAACCTCACTACTCCTGGAGGAGGGGTGGGAAATCATCCTGAGGCCAGACTATTAGAGTCTCCCTTCAGCTGGGGGAGAGACAGGATCACTGAGAAAGTCTCACCCAGGAAGACTCAGGGACACATGACCTACCTAAGGCAGAGGCTGGACCAAAACAACAAAGAACCTCCACCTCCCAGGTACCCACCACAAGGCTAGCAAGTATGCAATAACAAGCAATAGCAGTGTAGTGCTAAGGGAGGGGCTAGAGCTTGGAGAGAAACCGACTATCTTATGCAGGGGCAAAGGGAATGCAGAAAACTAAGCATGGAGGAGGAACATTAAGAAAAACACTGGGAAAACCTAGTGCCCACCCTAAGCACAAGGTAATAGGGGAGGAATTTGAAGCTGATGATGCATTGAAGGTTCCCATATCAAGTACAAAACCCAAATACAGTTCAACTCCTTAGTATATTGGCTTAACCCCCATAGTGACAACTTAGCAGAAAAGATGTGCCATTTCCAGGCAGTCTCTACTGTTATACACGATGGCCAGTGATCAATAAAAAAATTACCCCTTCCCCATAAACACACACACACACACACACACACACACACACATACACACACACACACAGGGAAACAACCTTCTGTTACAAGACAAAGCAATTAAACCAGACTCTGAGGTGACCCAGGTGTTAGAATTTCAGAAGAAAAATTTACCATGAATACAATTAATATGTTTAAAAGGCTCTAGTAGAAAAGATACATGCATGAATGATGATGAATTTCTGCCAAGAGATGGAAACTTTAAGAGTCAAATGGTAATGCTAGAAGTAAGTGAATATAGTAACAGATGAAGAATGCCTTTGACAGCCTTATCAGCAGACTCAACAGAGCCAAATAAAGAAATCGGTGATAGGTCAGTGAAAATTATCTAAACAAAAACAAAACAAGAAGAGTTAGAAAATTAAAAAATTACACACATCAAATCATTGTATTGGGGCTTCCCTGGTGGCACAGTGGTTTAGAGTCCGCCTGCCGATGCAGGGGACACGGGTTCGTGCGCCAGTCCAGGAAGATCCCACATGCCGTGGAGCGGCTAGGCCCGTGAGCCATGGCCGCTGAGCCTGCGCGTCCAGAGCCTGTGCTCCGCAGCGGGAGAGGCCACAACAGTGAGAGGCCCGTGTACCACAAAAGAAAAAAAAAATCATTGTACACCTTAAACTTGTACAATGTTATATGCCAATAATATCTCAATAAAACTATAAAAAACCAAAAAAGAACACCCCAAAACAGAACAGAGCATGCAAGAACTGTGGGTCGATATTAAACAGTCTAATTTGTATATTATTGAAATCCCACAAGAGGAGAAAGATAATGGATCCGAAAAAAATATTTGAAAAGATAACAACTGAATTGTTTCCCAAAAATAACGAAGACATCAAATGACAGATCCAAGCCCAGAAATCCCCAATCAAGATAAATACCTCGGGCTTCCCTGGTGGCGCAGTGGTTGAGAATCTG